TCAAGATCTGAGAACTTTGAAAATTCTGCAACTTTGAACAGAGAGCTGAAAAAGGTGTTTTTTTCAGTGTTCAAGCTTCCCTAATGCTCTGATACCAATTGTTGCGCATACTGGACCAAAAGCAAACACAAATAAAACACAAACAACAGATTTACGTGGTTCCCCAAAATCGGGTACGTCCACGGAGGCAGCAGATTGTATATTATTGGAGGAATGATACAAACACTCAACTTCACCCAGTACAATCCCACTTAACCGGGTGTTTCACTCTTACACTCGGTGTTTCTCTCAAATCTGTATTTTCTCACTCTCACAGTTGCACTCACCACACTTTCACCCTTTTGCTCTCACCATAATTTCACTACACTTATTACATTGCTCTCTCTTTATCTCTATTTATAGGAGAGCCTTGGCAACTTGGTTGAGGGTGGTTGATGGTGGTTGAATGGTGGTTAGAAGTGGTTGATGGTGGTTGTTAAAGGAGAGGGTGGTTGATGGTGGTTGAGAAAAAATGTTGACAATTTGCTACAGTACATCCCTTGCCCAAATTTCAAGCTACATTTTCCGTGTCAAATCAGTTGGAAATTTAGAAACTAAGACACTCAAAACCCTATTTAGAATTTCAAAATTGAGAAAATCTTGTTTGACACTAATGTGATGCATGCATGAGGGAGGGCTAGTGGCTCCTATCACTAGTATACTATAAAGTTTGATGAAAAAACATCCTCAGAGGCGGGAAATTTTGAACTGAATACTCAAAAGCCTATAAAAACTTGCAAGTTCAGAGGACATTTTTCGAAAATATAAATGTAATGAACGGGTTTGAGGGCATGACTATCACGAGTACAGTTTGGACATTTTTGTAGAAAAGAGAGGACTAAAGTGCAAGCCAAGTCTTCAGATGAGAAAAGAGGGAGGCTGATCACACATTTGGTCCCTGCATTATGCTAGTTTGATTAAATGAGTCCCTCCACTACTAATTTGATTTGACTGGAGTCAACCGCGTTTTACCAGAAGCATCATTGGTTTAACATTGATTTTTTTTATGCGGTTGAAATAGAGTTTCAACGCCTAGACAGGCGAAGCTATTATCAAGACTCTCCATCATAGATGCATTAGCACTAATTTGTTTCCATGTATATTCATGACATGTGTCCATATTGAGTATTGGCTTGGTCTCCAATTTGTTAGAGAAAAAAAATGCTTAGAAAATGAAATTTGATTTTTCTATAATTAAAAATGATTAATGTCAAAATTCAATTTTTATTTTTTTCAAAAACAAATATATATAAAAATAATAAATAACAAAAAAAGAAGAAATAAAAATAATTTAAGAATTGATTTAAGAAAAGTTTGAGGACTAATAAAGATTGAATTATAAATGTGGGAGTTAATTAGTTAAAAATTAAAAGAATTTATAAGTTTGGGAATTTAATTAAATTTTGAATTAGTTTAATTAATAAAAATAGAAGCTTAATTGTTATATGTCAAAAGTTCAGGGGGCAAATTGAAACTAGCCATTTCCAGGGATACAAACGGAGCCGTTTCAAAAAACTATTCATCACCTTCTTCCTCAGGAATCGTTTCAGCAGTGAAGGCACTAGAGTCGTTTCAGCAGTAAAGGCACCAAAACCGTTTCAGTCATGGCGCCAGTCTCCCGGCTGCTATCCCTCGCCCCCACAATGCATGCCGTTACCAAGCCACGACCGCATGGCATTCTCTGGCCTTATAAAAGCCAGAGAAAGGCCACAAACCAGAGGTGGGCAAAGAAAAAAGGATGCAAACGCCAAAAGAGAAGATCAAGGGACAGAGGACGTAAAAAAAACTGAGAACTTAGACCGGAAAACCAGAGGAGGAGGAAGACAGAGAGAACTGGGGAGAGCATAAGACCGAGAACAAAACACACACAGACGCGAAGGAACAAACACGGGAGAAACAAACAGAAAACACAGAGGAACAGAAAACAGAGAGAGATAGGGAATCAAGGAGAACAGACAGACGAACCACACCAGCAACAAAACCAAAAGAAAGCAAGAGAACAACAAAGAAAAGACTAGAGGAAGGGAAAGCAAACAGACGCTAGTCGATCAGCAACCGCATGCCTTCGCCTCTAGCTACCAGGTAAGTTCTTCCTCTTCCCCACTTTGCAAAATCATCTCATTTGTTACTGTGCAAAGGTAATATAGTTACTTGTTACAGTGCCCGGCCGTCCAGTCCAGCCCATACGGGCTGAGTTGGAGCTGCCCCAAAAAACCAAAGACAAAAAAAACCGGGTCTGGCTGGGTTGGGCTCCGACCCAAACCCTCTATTTTAGTCATTTTTTATTTTGATATTCAACCAAATGAATTCTTTTTAATATTATAAAATTGACCAAATAAATTATTTTTAATATCATAAAATTTCAAAAAATTTATGGACACTTTTAAATTTATTTGTAGGTCTTTCATGTTTTTTTAAGGTATTTCATTATATATTTAATTTATGAATTTTTACTATGAAATGCAAATTTGGTATTCAATTTTTTTATCTTTAAAAAAGATAAACAAAAATATGTATGCTTTGTTTTAGATTTATTTTATTGATTTATTTACTAGCATCAGAGCCAAAATTATCATATGTTTTTTTGCTACGTAATATTTACCAATGTTAGAGTTGAAGATATCCGTAATCAAATATTCACGGACATCAAAGTCAAGAATATTATAGGCAAGCCAACAAAGATAAAACACAACAAACCTTTAGCAATTTAAGATAACTAGCGATGCAGCTTACTTCAAGTAGGACATTTAAAGGGTAATAATATCTTCTTTTTTGCATAATTAATCTCATACTATAAAATTTCTGCTAACTAGTTAGGGTTTTTAATAATCATAATACTATGTGGTGACTTCTTAAACAAGTCATATACAATCAAAGAACAAGATGTAATAAATTTGTTTTCTTGCAATTTTGAATTTTTAAAAGTCATCGTGATGTCGGGTGCGACAAAATAACAATTTCATTGGAAACTTTTTAGAACAAAACTTCATTTTTTGTCTTATTATTGATATCTTGTTTATTGTGCTTATTGGTTTATTTTATTGCCTTTACCATTTTAGCATGCATCCTTATTTATATTATCATGCATCATATTAAAAGCACACACCTTAAAATCTAAGATAGGTGGGAAACTAATAATACCCTAACAATTTTAGCATAGGTAAGACTCGTGAAACCATCCAACTCTCATTTGATTTGTTTACTTAGAAGTGGTTGATATGCCAATCTGATTTTACTCAAGGCCTTTATCTTCACACTACTTGTAAGCATTATATCTACCTCTCGAGGATGATCACTAAGCATGTGAGGGATCCTTTGAGACTAGATAGTAACCTATCTCTTGATGCACTAGATGACCCTTGTCACCTCGTGAAGGGCAAGCCCATATTTCATATGTTGATTTTAGTCTACTTGAACAGATATTGGGATCTGAATCTAGAAAAGAAAATTTATAGTTTAGCCCGAACCTATGCTCACAACTTCCTTCAATCCACAAGATCTAGGGACAAATGAGATGTCATTTAAATTTCAACAAGCCATGCATTTCCAACTAGTATATCCCACAAGAATGTTGTTTACCATTGAATCTATAAAGAAAGAATCTTATAAGATACTAAAAGAATATAATATAACTAAATTGGTTGTCCTAAAGTAAAGGATGAGGCATTTGAGGGAACTCACTTATATGATCTCATAAAAGTTGTTAAGTTGTGTTTGGTGCTTAACATGGTCATTCCCAAAAAGTTTAGAGTGCTAGACTTTATCAAGTATACAAAAACTTAATGCCCTCTAACTTATCTTAAAGCATAGTATAACAAAATCATTGAGGTGGTTGATGATGAAAAAAATATTGATTCACTTCTTTCAAGATATTTTGAGTGATGTTGCTCTTACTTAGTATATGTGGTTTGACAATACCAAGATAAAAAAGTAGAAAGATTTAACTAATGATTTTATTAAGCAATATAAGTTCAATATGAACATGGGCTTTAATAGGTAAAGCTTGCAAGCTATGAAGAATAATAACTAGGAGTTTATAAGAGAGGTACCCAAAGGTTACGTAAGGTAGTTGCATAGGTTAATCCTTCTTTGTTGGAAAAAGAAATGATCAGTTTATTTTCCAACACTTTTAAAGCCTTGTATTTTGAGTATATTGTTAGAAGCTCTGCACAATATTTCATTAACCTAGTTGATATAACAGAGAGAATTGAACAAGTCATTGGGATAGGTAAGATTGTTGACCCGACTAAGAAGAATAATTTTGACTAGAAAAGGGAAAGACATTGAAGGTGGTTGCCAAGACACCTACCCTTTCTATAGTTAATTTTTTCATACTGATTCCTAGAAATCAACTATCTTGAAGATAAAACTATTGTAATATTAGGTCAAGAATAGTGTATATATGACCTCAACTGACTGTTGAAAAAATACTCTTATTGAGGAGATGAACGACTGGAATATTCTAGAATTTTCAATCAATGATTGCTATGTATTTAGTTTTTTTATGTGTTACCTTGTTAGTAATCACAACTCAAGATGTTGGCATAAAATCTTTGTTATTAAATCTCTTTTCAAAAGTTTCAATGAAATAATAAGTTTGTTCTTCAATTGTGTTTACGATCAAACATTATTTATTTTCCTGAGAGAGTTTTCCTATAAAAACTCACAAATAAACCTTTGCAACCGTGTATTATCACATAGACTCAATTTATTTTTTTACCAAAATCTTTTCTACGAATTTTGAAAATTTGAACTTGTTTTTGGTTTAAAAAATAATTTGATACTTATTTAAAAATAATACGAATCAAGCAACTTCTTCGTTAGGATGACCAAACTCTAAACCAGAGAATATAAATAGAAAAATAAATAGTTACTTTGATCATCTCAAGTTAGGTTGGGTTTTTGGGCTGATTTGTACTTGGAATTATACTTGTTCCAAGAATTACAAATTCCGTGGTGGGCGTTCATTTGATAAGTCAATGGCTCTTGATCTAAACTATTTCACTCTTGTCAAGGGCACGTGATGGACAAGATATGGGGTTTGTCTACTGCAAATTTGTAGCATTTCTTCTTCTCTTCCTGCTCTTTTTCTGTTTCGATTTTGGGGTTGCGGTAGATATCATTACATCATCTCAGTTTATCAAAGATCCTGAAGCTATAGTAACTGCTAGCAACATTTTCAAACTGGGATTTTTCAGTCCTGTTAATTCCACAAATCGTTATGTTGGAATATGGTACAATGATATGCCTTCAGTGACTACAGTATGGGTAGCTAATAGAAACAAGCCACATGTGGTCAAAGGACACCACTAGAATGCACAGAAACACAAAATATAAGAGAAGTGAACCCAAAAGATGGGTTCTTGAAGCTTGAGATGATCAAAGTACCAGACTTTGCAGAGTGGTCATCTCTGTATTCAGAACTAGAATGCAGAAACGAATGCTTAAGTAATCGTTCCTGTATAGCTTATTCATATTACAAGGGTATTGGCTGCATGTTTAGGACCAGAAGCTTAATTGATATACAGAAGTTTTCCTTTGGTGGGGCAGATCTTTACCTTCGCTTAGCATATTCAGAACTTGGTCATGCTTCATATTTTCTTCTTTTGTGCTACTGCTAATGTTTTGTGTACCAGTATTCATGTTAGAAGTTGATGCAGCCGATCTCCTCGAGTAGTTTGTTTTGTCAAATAAATGTAGCAATTTTATTTGCAGATAAAAGGAAAAGCAAGAAGATAGTTATCAGAATAATAGTGATTTTCGGAACAATTGCCTTTTCAATCTGTGCATTTCTTTCATGGAGGTGCATGGTTAAACATGGATGTAAAAGGTTTTCAGTATTAGTTTGTTTTGGGTATTTAGAGTTTTGCAATTTCAATGATGCTTACTCTCTGAATCTTAATCAGAAAGGAAGAGGAAGAGCAAAAGGAACAGTGGGGGCAAAGTTAAACTCCAGGAACTACCAGCTGTATTCAGTTTACAATATATGAAGGAGGAGGATCGCATTCACTCAACTCAACTCCCATTATTCATTGCTGCCCTTACAGCCGCTGCTGCCCTTCTCTCTTTCTCTCTTATCACATTTTCTCTCTATTCTGCTTGTCTCTATTTATAGGCTTTAATAGCAGCTCCTCCTGCTCTTTTGTCAACAATGGTAGCCATTTTTTAGGTGTAACGTCTTTGACAATCTCAAGCTGCCATCAATAACCCACCATTGTAGCCTCTTTCTTTGACAATGGCAGTCATTCTCTTCCAGAGGATGTGCTGCAAATGCTGCCACATAAGTGACAATATCCTAACACGTACTATCTGATCCATGTTTTCAAGATGAAATTTTTAGAAGCATGCATATAGGTCTATTGTGTGTTCAAGAGTTTCCAAAAGATAGGCCAGCTGTGCCTACAATCATTTCAATGCTTCACAGCGAAATTGCGGATCTTCCTGCTCCCAAGAAACGTGCACTTGGTTTCGATATGGACTCCCTTCAATGGAGCCAAACGATATTTTCTAATGACATGTCAATTACTGTATTGGAGGGCGATAGGTAACGAGTTTGAGGCAATATTTTTCTGTTACATGTAAATCTAGATCATTATGTAAAATATCAAAATGTTAAATGCTTCCCTTTTGGATCAGTTTGAGCATCCACTGATGAGTTAATTGACTTGATCTTCTACTACGATGAAGCCTGCATTTACTGAGAGGCAAATTCGTCGATAAATAGACCATTCAATAGAAGAAACATTAAAAACTTGCTGTTAACATTACAGAAGGCCAATAGACTGGAGTTCCAGATCAAAACTTGAGTTCCTTAGTTCATACATTATCATAGTTGTTGAATAAAGAAGGATAAACACTGTAGCATATTGATAGGATCTTACACAATTTGAGTAAAGGACTTAGCTTGTACTTGTTCTGTCTACTGTCATTTCTGAGAGGTAGCACCTAGTATACTTGT